AGGAAAAGAAAAAAAAGATGAGTGGGCTGTGCGTGGTGGCTCATGCCTGTAATCCCAACACTTTGGAAGGCCCAGGCAGGTGATCACCTGAGGTCAGGAATTTGAGACCAGCCTGACCAACATGGTGAAACCCTGTCTCTACTAAAAATACCAAAAATTAGCCGGGTGCGGTGATGCATACCTGTAATTCCAGCTACTTGGGAGGCTGAGGCAGGAGAATTGCTTGAACCTGGGAGGTGGAGGTTGCAGGGAGTCAAGATCACACCATTGCACTTCAGCCTGGGCAAAAAGTGAAACTCTGTCTCAAAAAAGAAAGAAAAAAGATGAGTGAATCATACTACCCATGTCCATGTCCACTTTGTCTAGCCAGTAATTTCTCCTTGGTTTTCCTCAAGTTACTTTATCTCATATTAATCAACCCAACTTCTTGGGTCTGAATGAAAAGTACACATGTAAGGAAAAGATACACAGTATGATTTAGTGAAAACAAAAAAACATTAGGAATCAGGAAGCCAGGATTCTGCTATCAAGCAGCTCTGTAACAATGGCAAATCAGTTAACCTCCCTGAACTTCAATTTCCTCTTCTACTGAGGGGGCGGGAATAAATAATCAACAAGCTGCCTTTACTTTCAGGAGCATTAAATCCCATCTGTCTACTTATACCCAAAATTAGTAGTATGTGTACTCTCTGCTTTTTCTAAAACATCTTTTCTCCAAGTCTCCTGATCTTTTTACATGCTGTTTCCTTATTTTGCAGAATAACGTTTTTTTGTTTGTTTGTTTTTTGAGACAGAGTCTTGCTCTTCCCCAGGCTGGAGTGCAGTGGCTCAATCTCAGCTCACTGCCACCTCAGCCTCTTGGGTTCAAGCAATTCTTCTGCCTCAGCCTCTTGAGTAGCTGGGACTACAGGCTCACATCACCACACCCAGCTAATTTTTATAGTTTTACTAGAGATGAGGTTTCATCATATTGGCCAGGATGGTCTTGAACTCCTGGCCTCAAGTGTTCCACCTGCCTTGGCCTTCCAAAGTGCTGGGATTACAGGTGTGAGCCACCCAGCCCAGAGTAACTTTTCAGTTACTAATTGACTAATTTTTTTTCTTGGGTTTGTAAGAAGACTGCAGTAGTTGCTAGTAGTGTCCTACCTCTGTCTCCTCAAGCATGACCACCATTTCAGTGCCCACCAGCCTGACCTCCCAATTGCTAGTACCTAAATTTTTTTGCAGAGGGTTTTCTGTGGCTACCAGGACTGGATATACCTGTATGCATGTGGTATGCATTGACTCTCCCCATTTTTATGGGAACAGCTTTCAGATGGAAAATTGACAGGAGCTGGTTGTCAAACAAGTTACCCTAATTTCCTTACACCCTCGTTGGCTGAGATGTGTATTCTTTACTTGTTCCCCAAAATCCCCAGTAGGATTGTGCTCCATAGTGCACAGTGTTAACTTGGTTGATAATGAGTGCTTTAATTGGCTTCTTTCTGTTGTCTCAATTCTCTACTTTCTTAATGGTGTTTCTTGATATCATCTCCAAATAAACTACCTAAACTCAACTACTTGTCTCAGAGTCAACTTCGGGGGGAATTCAAACTAAGCTCTTAGAACAACTTCAGTACTATTTTATCACCCCATTTGAGCAAGTTGATTCCCTTCTTCATGCTCCTATATTGTAGCAATATGGTTAAAACTAACATGCTGAAGATATTGGGATATTACCTAAAGGAAAAAAAATTACTGACTATAATAAAAAGTCCTTCTCATGATTTTTAAAGTATTGCTCTACATAAACTTGGGACTCAATGGTAATATAGAGTTGTTTATTTGACACTGCTTCTTCACTCCTTTGGACATTGTTAAAAATATAACATTTATGGAAATAAAATATACCCTATGTAACATAATGAATTGCTACAAAGGATGCTGCTACATTGTTATACTGGACCTTAAATTGTTCAGCTTGCAAAATCATAAATTACAAGTCTTTAGTTCACTTGTTAAAAACTAAAGAGTACCACTGATTTCCTTGCATTTAGAAGTGAATTTATAGAAACCATTCACTGTCTCAATTTAAAGTAAAATTCAGAATGGGGGCTGGGCATGGTGGCTCATGCCTGTAATTCCAGCACTTTGGGAGGCTGAGGTGGGCAGATCACGAGATCAGGAGATTTAGACCATCCTGGCCAACATGGTGAAACCCCATCTCTACTAAAAATACAAAAACATTAGCTGGGCATGGTGGCGCATTCCTATAGTCCTAGCTACTCAGGAAGCTGACGCAGGATAACCACTTGAACCTGGGAGGCAGAGGTTGCAGTAAGCCGAGATTGTGTGTTGCCCTCCAGCCTGGTGACAGAGCGAGACTCTGTCTCAAAAAAAAAAAAAAAAAAAAAGAAAGAGAGAAATTCAGAATGGGATGGGATTCTGTGTATTCTATTTCCAAAACATAGTGAGATACAATTTTGGGACTTTTTGCAGGCTATAGTGAGGGCTCCAATTCAATTTCATAATCTTAAGTAACAATCTATAAAAAGGAAGGAAAACATTTTAAAAGGTACCAAAACAGTAAGTCGAGATACAAGGTACATGTTTTCTAGCAGATTGTGCCTTAAAAAATAGAAAAAGAAAAAAATGTTAATTTAAATTCACTTTTTATTCTTTCATAGATTTTAACAATTATACACAACTTTTAACATAAAGGTAGTGAAATCTCAAGGATAAGGAGGCAATATATATGGTCTCTTCTATTCGTTCTTCAGGATGGAAGGAAATCTCCAAAGGGTACCATGTGTGAGATTAACACTGGAAAAATACATATGAAACTTGTTTGACTGGCTCCACTTAGGACCAGGCACAGCACAATAAATATAGAACTGCATCATCTTTTTAAAAGGTCATCGTAATTTTAACACATTCTTACTAAAGAAACACATACTATCAGTGACCAATCTGAAATTCTGTAACAGGTGAAGGGAGACTTACAATGAATATCTAAGCATAGGCTCTCTAGCATCTTCACACTCATACATCAAAATTCTTAAAGGGAATAAGAATGATTTCAAATTCAAAACAGTAAAAAAACAAATTTGGTCAAGCTTTCTTCATCATACCATTCATTACTATCACAATCCTAGTTTGCTGGTAGGTTTAAGATAGGAATAGAAAGTTTTTGAAATCCTTTTAATTTCTACTAGTCTTAGGGCCTCTTGAGGGAGGCCACTGTGGAAGCAAACTGACCAAACAGCACCATTAAGTCTGTATCTCAACAAGCCACTGCATAATTTCTAACTGTCAATATTCTCAAAAGTTAAAACAAGTTGTATGGAAGAATACCTTTCCTCAATAGCAGGCCACTGTAAAAATATGTAATCTGCAAGGATTTAAACGAAAGTATCCTGAATTCTCTACTGATTGCTTCTTTCCTTAATAGACCAAGAGATAGGCATTCTCTAAAAATTTAAATAATAACATACTGAGCCATGAAATAAATCCTTTGTTTATACCATCACGATTTGGGAATTTGAGATTGTTAACCATGTTCACATGCCCTTTCCTCTTCCCAAAGAGGAAGCAACCATGCCAGCACTATTGGTCAGACTTAATGGGAAACTGTTGCTCTCAGAGCTGTTCTGCAATATGCAAACACACAAATTATTATTTTAAACACATACTTCAAAGACGGGATAAAATGATCTTTTTTTTCATGTGACCCAGATTCTGTTATCAGTAGATACAAAATTAATTTCATCCCTATTAGGATGGAAACTGGTATGTTGCTGTGGCCATACATATTCTGAGAAACCTCTTATGCCAGTGAACCAAAAACCATATGAAAGAAATTAGCATTTTCTAGGATTGGTCAACTGGTTGTTCAAAAATTCAACAAGCAAACAAACATGCAAACATGTGACATATGTCATTATTTTGTAAAAACATAATGCCACTCTGGCCCCAGGAATCACTACAGCCCGGCTGGTCCTTAAAGGTGCAAACAGCCTTTAACTGCTACTAAACATTTTCTCTGGCATTTTACTGCCCATCACACTTGCCACGTTATTCTCAGAAGCTTCGGCTTCCAAGACAGTTGAGGAAAATAAAGAGGGTGTAATGTTGATCAAGTTTTCAGTGATTGTTTTAAATGTAACTGTAAAAAGAATTTCCTAGTAATGAAGTACATAATAATCTTTGATACTAAATTTTTTCTAGCGAAATAAACTATGCTTTAATAAGACAATGTTGATCTAAGTTTGACCCCCTGACTCTTTTTTCTTCTTTTTTATAGCGTACTGTTTCATATATTGTGTGAGCCCCACAAATGCCTATTTTTAAAAGAGTATAGTTCCTGACCAGGCACGATAGCTCACACCTGCAATCCCAGCACTTTGGGAGGACAAGGAAGGTGGCTCACCTAAGGTCAGGAGTTCAAGACCAGCCTGATCAACACGGAGAAACCCCGTTTCTACTAAAAACACAAAATTAGCTGGGCCTGGTGGCGCATGCCTGTAATCCCAGCTACTTGGGAGGCTGAGGCGGGAGAATCACTTGAACCCAGGAGGTGAAGGTTGCAGTGAGCCAAAATCGCACCACTGCACTCCAGCCTGGGCAACGAGAGCAAAACTCCATCTCAAAAAGTAATAATAATAATAATAAAAGAGTACAGTTCCCAATAGTTTCCCACAAATACTCCTGATTTATATGGGGGGAAGCAATGCATAATTGAAACATCAATCATGTTTTTGAAAATTAAATATTTCCTGCAAAGCAATTCCTTTGCAAAATGGCAAGCTGTCAATGACCTCAACAGACACTGAGTTATTTCACAAAGTACCTGTTCAAAAGGTATAGAAATCTGGTCTTCCAATCCAAATTCACTGCAAAGAGAGTACATGCAGTAGTCCTGTTTACAATTTAATAGAGATGAGGAAAGGACACACCTAGGACAAAGAGGGTCATCACCCTACATACAAGTTTACAGTAGTGTAACTATTATACATATTTACTATGTTCACCACTTCAGACAAAGGAAGAGGGAGGCCCTTCACAACACTAGAACAAAGGAATGTTTGTTTTATATAAGACCTACCAAAAAAACAGGGAAACAAATGATAACACACATAGGCACTAGTCTCGAAGCTGCACAATAAAGAAGCAAAAGGTTTGAGATGAGAAATTTAGGAAAATATACACATAGGAGCTTGCTGAGGAAAAGGAAATCACAGTTCTAATCTTCAAGGCCTCTAATCTTCAAGGCTACGGAATGCATTCTGCATATCTTCAAGAAGTTGTGCGTAGTCGCTCTTGATCTTTGCCTCACCATCTTTGACTGGATCCTGAAAGAAGACATTACAAATTCAACTCACACTTGGAAAGTAATTTTCATTATGTATGGCAAGTTACTTTTTTTTTTTTGAGATAGAGTCTTGCTCTGCCGCCCAGGCTGGAGTGCAGTGACACACTGCAACCTCTGCCTCCCGGCTTCAAGTGATTCTCATGCCTCAGTCTCCCAAGTAGCTAAGTAGCTAGGATTACAGGCACCCACCATCATGCCTGGCAATTTTTTTTGTATTTTTAGTAGAGACAGGGTTTCACCATGTTGGCCAGGCTGGTCTTGAACTCCTGACCTCAAGTGATGATCCACTTGGTTCGGCCTCCCAAAGTGGTGGGATTACAGGTGTGAGTCACCACACCTGGCCCAAGTTACTTGTATTTTATATATTTTAAGTACTAGGTTTAGAGAGGGACATTGGTAAACCACAGGCAGGAGTTAAAACTATACTCATTTTCCCTTTTACTTAAGGTTACAAATCCAGCCAAAGAGAAAGAAAACAAAATTTAAATTTTGCGTTTTGCCTGATAGCCACATTCAATGACCAAAGCCTTTGTCCTCAACAGTGTGCACAACAGTGGGAAATTACACCACTTCATATATTAGATGCATATGACTCCACGCATGATAATCAGGAATTAATTTAATCAAAACAGAATTTGCTAAACATCTGGCAGTATCACACTAAGATGGAAAAGTAAAACTTAGGAAATAATGTTAAAATGCACCATTATTTAAAGTTCTTATGGAAAGCAACTTACTGAATAAGATGTATAAAAGAGACTTTAGCTGGGTGCAGTGGCTCACGCCTACAATCCCAGCACTTTGGGAGGCCGAGGAGGGTGGCTCACCTGAGGTCAGGAGTTCGAGACCAGCCTGATCAACACGGAGAAATCCCGTTTCTACTAAAAATGCCCATAATCCCAGCTACTCGGGAGGCTGAGGCTGGAGAATTACTTGAATTTGGGAGATGGCGGAGGTTGCAGTGAGCTGAGATCATGCCACTGCACTCCAGCCTGGAGACAGAGCAAGATTCTGTCTCAAAAAAACAAACAACAAAAAAAAAAAAAGAGAGAGACTTTAAAATGTTCCAGTTCTCTAACCCAATCATTCCTCTTCTGTGACTCCACACTAAGAAAATGCACAGAACCAACTACATACAACTACGTGGTCATCCACACCAATAACTGGAAATTTTCTAAGTGTCTTAGAAAAATATTACACTCCAGCCAAAAAGTAATGCTACAGAAGACTAATGACATTAAAAAATACCTGTGATGTTAATTTGATACAATAAGCATGTAAATAGAAATTATCATTACTGCAGGTATATATTTTTTTCATCCTCTCCCTATGAATATATTTTTTTGAGACAGTATTTGGAACAAGTTACATATGGAAGTTTTTTCACTCTATGCCATAAGTGTTTCTCCATGTCTTTGAATATTTGACAAAAATGGTAATGCCTTCATAATATCTATCTTATGGACACACCATAATGTACTGTTGGCTCTGCTCATTCTTGGGTGACACTTAAGAAATTTGGCCAGGCATAGTGGCTCATGCCTGTAATCCCAGCACTTTGGGAAGGCGAGGTGGGCAGATCACCTGAAGTCAGGAGTTTGAGACCAGCCTGGCCAACACAGCAAAACTCCATCTCTACTAAAAATATAAAAATTAGCTGGGTGTGGTGACATGCACCTGTAATCTCAGTGACTTGGGAGGCTGAGGCAGGGAGAATTGCTTGAACCTGGCAGGCAGAGGTTGCAGTGAGCTGGGATTGTGCCACTGTACTCCAGCCTGGATGATAGAAAAAAATTCTGGCCCCCCAAAAAAAAAAAAAAAAAGAAAGAAAGAAAAGAAAAGAAAAAGAAAAAAAGAAAGAAATTTAATAAACAACCTTGTATATCCATATCAAAATTCCAAAATTCTAATTACTTCCTTGGTTTATATATCTCAAGGTGAAATGACAAGACCAAAAAGGTGTAAATGTTTTTAAATTATAAATATAGTTAGTATCTATTTGTACAGGTTTACTTTCAATCTACGGTGCAAACACACACACACACAAAATACATATATTATTTTAAAATTTTTATATTACATATACATTCAGAGAATCATTCTCAGTAGGTGGTTAGTAAATATGCCTGGATGTCATTACAGAAATAAATACAATTCAACTGATCAAATATTAAAAAAAAAATCTTATACATCTGAGTTCTAAGTTCCTATTAATTTCATTTAATTATCTATTTTTATCTTGTGTACTTCCAAAAGAACAAAAGACCACTTAAAAGTTAAAACATGGCTGGGCACGGTGGCTCACACCTGTAATCCCAGCACATTGGGAGGCCAAGGCATGGGGATCACCTGAGGTCAGGAGTTCGAAACCAACCTGGACAACATGGTAAAACCCTGTCTCTACTAAAAATACAAAAATTAGCTGGGTGTGGTGGCAGGCGCCAATAATCCCAGCTACTTGGGAGGCTGAGGCAGGAGAACCACTTGAACCTGGGAAGTGGAGGTTGCCGTGAGCCAAGATCGTGCTACTGCAACTCCAGCCTGGGTGACAGAGCAAGATTCCATCTCAAAAAAAGAAAAAGTTAAAAAATGACATGCTGTACATGATATTTAAAAGAAGTAAACAGAGAAGATGTCATTTCAGAAGAACATGTGGGCTAGATGTTAACAGGCACTTGGAGTAAGGTAATTGTTGCTCAGCTACGAAGTAACCCCTAATTTGCCTGGCAGCTAAGACAAAAGAGAAAACATATCAGCATTTATTTTAGACGTGACAGACTAATTTTTTTTTTTTTTTTTTTGAGACTGGGTCTCACTCTGCCACCCAGGCTGGAGTGTAGTGGTGCAATCATGGAGCACTGCAGCCTCAACCTCAGCCTCCAAGGTAGCTGGGACTACAGGTGTGTGCCCCTATACCTGGCTAATCTTTTATATTTTTTGTAGAGACAGGATTTCAATGTGTTGCCCAGGCTGGTCTTGAATTCCTGGGCTCAAGTCGTCTTCCCGCCTCAGCCTCTGAAAGTGCTGGGATTACAGGCATGAGAGCCACTGTACCTGGCTGATATACTAATTTTTATCATTAGAATTCCTATTTGAATATAACTTTGAGGTCTCTACTGCTTTTACAAAACCTGAACATGTGTGAAAATGATAACTGCAAGTTTTATATCCCAGGTTTGGGACTCAAATAGCTAGAAAAATTAAAAAGATGCATTTCCAACTTTAAAAAGTTACAGCAGAAATAAAATATACCTTGAATTTCATGGAGGAAAGTTTATAGAGGATGTCTCCCATGTGCTCACGAATAATGGACCATGTGATTTTATTGTCACTCTGGGCAGTGGTTTCAACAGCTCTACGTGCCATATCATAAAATGCAATCATGTTGGACAGCATCCCTACTGTCTTGTAGAATGGGCAGAACCTAGAAAAAATGAAGGTCAACAAAATTAACAAAAATAAACTCCAAAACAGGTTCATACTTTATATAAAACTACCAGAGCATTAGTTTCTTTAGCTAAGTATGTAGATTGCTTATATTTATTAGACGATACATAAGAAATTAAAAAATAATAGTGAAAAGACCAACAACTACTTAACCAGAGTTTTTGGATAGAGATGTCTCAGGATATGTGATAGATGAAGATATATATTATTTTATTTATTTTAAGGGTAAATTTTAATTTTCTCTGTTAAAATCATCAAGCAGGAGAAACAATGAAACAGTATTGCTATAATCTAATGACTCTGAGGGTTTTTGGACAATGCAGTTAAATAAGTAACCCAAATGGTAAAATAACTGAGTTGTAAAGACTCCCTTGTGACAGTGGATTAGGTTTAATGAGTAATAGGAGAGCAGGAAACTGCAAATTCCTGAAGTTAGTAGTACCCTCTTTTTCCTTTGAGGGGAGTTACGTGCGCGCGCGCGCGCGCGCGTGCGTGCGTGTGTGTGTGTGTGTGTGTGTGTGTGTGTGTCTTTTTGTTTTTTTCCTTTTTGTGGAGAACGGGGTCTTGCTATATTGCTCAGACAGGTCTAGAACTCCTGGGCTCAAGCTATCCTCCCGCCTCTGCCTCCCTAAGAGCTGGGATTACAGGCGTGAGTCACAGTGCTCAGCAGCCTCTTTTTTCTTAATGTGTTCATATTCATTTGCCCATACTTTTAAGTAACAGACACATGAACAAATGTTCAACTTCAGTCACATACATCCTTACAACTTTTGGACACATTTAAACACATCTGCATACATAATTTCACACATACTCCTATTACACCTTTTCCAAAGAATTTTTCCCTTGTTGAGTTATCTTTGCGTAGGTGGTTCCTGGAAGCCTCATAAGCTCCCAATATAGCAGATTTCTGGGGCTTACTGATATACTGGCATATTTACTGCTTGCCCTACATTCTGGTAATCCTTCTATTGGCTCAGTTCCTTCTTCAGTCTTATATGGGGCCAAATATGATTTGAGGGAGAAAAGATAACCTGGCATGAAAGGGCTAAATTCTCAAAGTTTAAAAGAAACGAGAACTTTAAACAAGTCTTGGTAGTAGCATTGATAATAATGAGAAAAAAAAAAAAAGCACTGAGTAGGGGATGTAGCACTGTAACAGGGACCCTGGTAGAAAGTAAGCAATAGGACTCTTGGGAAGTGAGGCAGGAAAGCAGAATGTAATTATTTAGGAAAAGAGAAAAAGAAGCCAGGTGTGTTGGCTCATGCCTGTGAGTCCTAGCACTTTGGGAGGCTGAGGTGGGTATATTGCTTGAGCCTAGGAGTTGGAGACCAGCCTGGGGAACATGGCAAAACCCAGTCTCTACAAAAAAAAAAAACAAACATTAGCTGGGCATGATGGTGGGCACCTGCAGTCCTAGCTACTTAAGAGGCTGAGGTAGTAGAACTGTCAGGAAGCTGAGGCTGCAGTGAGCTGAGACTGCGCCACTGCAAATCTAGCTTGGGTAGCAGAGTGAGACCCTGTCTCAAAACAACAACATAAGAGAATAAAGGAGACATGGGCAGTGGAAAGAAATGAAGAAGGCTTCTGAAGGAGGGAATAATCCCCAGGCTCTGCACTAAGCCACAATTAAATCTAATTATAGATGAATGTATGAGTGAAAATACTGTCATAATTGGACAAATGAGCAAATCAAGACAGGGGACATATTAGATCATTAGATGTCTACTAAGAATACACAAACCAATCTATTAAGTCAGAGTGTATGAGCTTGTACGAGAATAAAATAAGGTTTTCAGTGTGTACTCCTTCACCAAAACACAATGGAAAATCCTCAAATAAAAAAAGGAAATCAATATAGCTTACCTGTCATAAGGAGTATATCCATTTTGTTGTAGGAAATCATCTTTGATAAGTTTTGCTACCTCCAGAGTGATTTTATCTGTTTCTGCTAAAGAAGCCTGGAAGAGAAAGAAGATATTTTTAGACAGTTACTCCGAAATGTAAGATCAATGGTGGCAATTAATTAACAAGTAGAAACTATATAATCCACACACAATCACCCATTGTTAATAAATTTACTTATAACTGCTTTTTGACTGATGTGCTTACCATCTTTTCCATTTTTAATTACATAGTGCAGTATTAGTATGTACATTCCCATTACTGTGAAACAGATCTCTAGAGCTTTTCCATCTTGCAAGTCTGAAACATTACCTCCATTAAACAGTAACTCCTTTCTCTCCTCTCAGCCCCTGGTAACCACTATTCTACTTTCTGTTTCTATGAATTTGACTATTTTAGGCACCTCATAAAAATGAAATTATACAGTATTTGTCCTTTTGTGACCAGCTTATTTCACTTAGCATAATGCCCTCAAGTTTCATCTGTACTGAAGCATGTGACAGGAGCTCCTTCCTTTTTTTTTTTGAGATGGAGTCTCGTTCTGTGGCCCAGGCTGCAATACAGTGGTGCCATCTCTGCTCACTGCAACCCCCCGGGTCCCAGTTCAAGCAATTCTCCTACCTCAGCCTCCCAAATAGCTGGGATTACAGGCATGAGCTACCATGTCCAGTTCATTTTTTGGTATTTTTTTAGTAGAGACAGGGTTTCACCATATTGGCCAGTCTGGTCTTGAACTCCTGATCTTGTGATCCACCCGCCTCAGCCTCCCAAAGTGCTGGGATTACAGGCGTGAGCCACCGCGCCCAGCAGGAGCTCCTTCCTTTTTAAGGCTGAACAATATCTTATTGCATGTATATACACATTTTGTTTATGCATTCATCCACAGAAGGACATTGGGCTGCTTCCACTTCCTGGCTATTGTGAACAGTGCTGTTAAGAACATGGGTCCGGGTGTGGTGGCTAATGCTGGTAATTCCAGCACTTTGGGAAGCTGAGGTGGGAGGATTGCTTGAGCTCAGGAACGCGAGGCCAGCTTGGGCAACATAGTGAAAACCTGTTTCTACTAAAAATATAAAAATTAGCCAGGCGTGGTGGCAGGCGCATGTAGTCCTAGCTACTTGGGAGGCTGAGGTGGGAGGATTGCTTGAGCCTGGGAGGTAGATGGAGATTGCAGTGAGCTGCACTACAGCCTGGGTGACAGAGCAAGACCTTGTCTCAAAAAAACAAAAAACAAAAAACCAACAAACAAACATGGGTGGCAAAAAGCTTGATGTTCTTTTCTTGAAGTACCTCTTCACATCATAGCTTGCTATCTTAATTATTTAAATTCTCAGTCTTAGGTTTGTTTCACAAAAATCTATATAGCTCATAGATAGTTGAATTTTAGAAACATTACACGGTATTTAGAACTATGAAGTACAGTAAGTATGTATTAATCTATGTCTGAGTGCTATTTTACTAGTATAGCTAAGTTACAGAGCTTCGCCCTTTAAATATTACTACCTCAAAAGTCCTAACTTTTACAATCGCCCTAGCAGCCTTGAGAGATAATGTTAGGTTGCTAGGATCACTAACGGGTAAAGATTTCTTGGGAGTGGAAAATGGACAAGCCCAGTGAGTTAACTGCATTCTTGTATTATTTATGTGTGCTAAGCTCCTTAGGTAAGGATCAGGTCTCCAGTTTTTCTTTTTAAAATCCCTTTTATCTCTAGTCCTCTCTTCAACCACAGGTAAATATTAAATAATGTTTTATGTGTATCCTTTTATATATAAATTCATGTAAAATGTGTATTATATTTTGTGCAAGTGTCTTTAATTATGCAAAGCATTCTTACTTCTGTCTTTGGTTTGGTACTTTGTTTTGACCCACCCATGCTGCTGTGTATCACATGGTCTGCTGCTTCCAGCTCTGGTATATTTCATCCTTTGTGGGGTGTACCTTCCCTGTTTTACCTTCCATCTTTTGTTTGCAGTAGAGGACATTCAGATTTCCTCTAATTCTCCATCACCACAAACATTCACTTAAGGACCAGTTTGAGAATTTCTTTGGAGATAAATATCCAGAAACAGATATGCTAGGTCTGAGGTATGTAAACAAGTCCTATCAGACTGCTCTCCACAATGGCAGCACCAGACAATCCACCCACCTAAGAATACACCAGTTCCTCCGACCCCACAACACCTGGCAATATTTAACATTCTAACTAGTATAATGTGATGTTCTCAGTGTTCTTCAAGCAATTCTCCACAGGCCTGTTAATCTTTTGGGATTCCTTTTCTATAATCAGTTTGTTCTTTCTTTTGGCCACATTTCTGTTGAAGTTCCAGTCTTCTTGTTAACTTACAGGAGATCTTTGTAGATTTTACACATTAGTCCATCAGCTTTTTCTTTCCTAAATTTTTTAAAAAGTATTTTTAAAATTAAAAATTTTTCTAAACATTTTAATCTTGTTGTTTATGTATTTTTAAAAATAGAGACAGGGTCTCACTCTGTTACCCAGGATGGAGTGCAGCGGCACAGTCTCCTTTCACTGTAGTCTCAACCTCCTGAGCTCAAGTGATCCCCCCACCTCAGCTTTGCAAGTAGCTGTGACTACAGGCGCACACCACCACACCCAGCTAATTTTATATATTCCCCAAAGACCTTAGAGAGACAAGGTCTTGCCATGTTGCCCAGGCTGGTCTTGAACTCCTGGAGTCAAGCCATCCACTTGCCTCAGCCTCCCAAAGTGCTGGGATTACAGGTGTGAGTCACAATGCCCAGCCAGTCCATCAGTTTTAGATGTCACAAACTTCCTCTCCTAATGTCACTGGTCTGTTACATTTATCCATGGTGGGCCTTTGCTAAACAAAAGTCCTTACACTTTATGTAATCAAAAAACTCTTTTTTTTTGTTTTGTTTTAAGGCTAATGTTAAGGGGTTTATTTAAGAAGTCCTTTTCCAACTCTAGATCACAAAGATATTCTCTTAATATTTGTTTTCTTTTTTTTTTTTTTTTAGACAGAGTTTCACTCATGTTACCCAGGCTGGAGTGCAATGGCGCGATCTCGGCTCACCGCAACCTCCGCCTCCTGGGTTCAGGCAATTCTCCTGCCTCAGCCTCCTGAGTCGCTGGGACTACAGGCACGCACCACCATGCCCAGCTAATTTTTTGTATTTTTAGTAGAGACGGGGTTTCACCATGTTGACCAGGATGGTCTCGATCTCTTGACCTGGTGATCCACCCGCCTCGGCCTCCCAAAGTGCTGGGATTACAGGCTTGAGCCACCGTGCCCGGCTTAATATTTGTTTTCTATTAATCTGAAAGTCTTAACCTTTCCCACGTAAATTGTGAATCCATCTGAATTCTAACTTTGTACGTGGAATTAGAAAACAATTCAAATTTGTTTTCCTGCAAATAATAAAGTTTTCTATCACAGACTGAAACAATCTGTCCTCTCCTCACTTGATTTAAGGTACCATCTTTGCAATATCAATGGTTTATACCATCACAAGTCTATCTCTGTTCTGTTCCACTGGCCTATTGGTTTGCTATTTTACCAATACCATTGTTTTTATTACTAGGGTTTTGTATTTCCCCTTATCCAATAGGGGAAAAACTCTCACTTTACTATTCTTTTTCTTTTCTTAAGTCAGCGTTTTGCTCTATTGCCCAGGCTGGAGTGCTGCAACCTCTGCCTCCTGAGTTCAAGCGATTCTCCTGCCTCAGCCTGCCAAGTAGTTGGGACTACAGGCACCCCTCACCACGCCAGCTAAGTTTTGTATTTTTAGTAAAGACAGGGTTTTGCCATATTGGCCAGGCTGGTCTCAAACTCCTGACCTTATGATCCGCTGGCCTCAGTCTCCCAAAGTGCTGGGATTACAGGCTTGAGCTGCCGAGCCCAGTCGGTTTTTGTTTTTTTGAGACGGAGTTTTGCTCTTACTGCCCAGGCCGGAGTGCAATGACATGATCTCAGTTCACTGCAACTTCCATCTCCCAGGTTCAAGCGATCCTCCTGCCTCAGCCTCCTGAGTAGCTGAGATTACAGGTGCACACCACCAGGCCCAGCTGATTTTTTTATTTTTTGTATTTTTAGTAGAGACAGAGTTTTACCATGTTAGCCAGGATACTCTTGATCTCTTGACCTCGTGATCTGCCTGCCTTGGCCTTCCAAAGCACTGGGATTACAGGTGTGAGCCACCACCTGGCCCCTACTTTACTATTCTTATTTAGGGTGGTGAATCTTTGTGAAGTCAAATGAATTTTAGATTGGTGTTACACGGAATTTACAGATTAAAGAGAAGTGGCATCTCTTTTTTTTTTTTTTTTTTTAGATGGAGTTTTTTACTCTGTCATCCAGGCTGGAGTGCAGAGGCGCAATCTTGGCTCACTGCAACCTCCACCTCCCAGGTTCAAGCAATTCTCCTACCTCAGCCTCCCATGTAGCTGGGATTAAAGGCATGTGCCACCATGCCTGGCTAATTTTTTTGTATTTTTAGTAGAGACAGGGTTTCACCATGCTGGCCAGGCCAGTCTTGAACTCCTGACCTCATGATCTGCCTGCCTCGGCCTTCCAAAGTGCTGGGATTACAGGCATGAGCCACCGTGCCTGGCCAAGAAGTGGCATCTTTCTAATAAGTCATTCCATCCAAGAGCATGGACTGTTTTTGTTTTTAGATCATCTTCTGTTTCATTTGTTAGTTTAAAAGTGGTTTTCATAGCAGAAATATGTATTTCTGGCTAGTTCCTACACTCTAGTTTTTGTTGCTATTGTGAGCATCTTATTTTTACTTTTATTTTCTAGTTGGTATTGCTAGTGTACAGAAATTCTCAATTTGTGTTTATCTTGAATCAGAACCCCCCAGTGAACTCTTTATTATTTCTGTTTCTGTTAATTGTTAAATTTCTAGTATATCAGCATATTATCTACAAACAATGACATTGTTATCTCTTTCTTTATAACTTTTCCTTTTTATCTTCTTACATCATTGGTTATGATCTCTGGTATTCGACTGAACACAGTCATAAGATTAGGCATTCTTGTCTTAATCCTAATTTTTAAATGAAATGCATCTGAAATTTATCCATTAAGTAAAGTGGTTTCCCTAGGTCTTATTATATTACTTTTTACACATTAAGGAAGTTCCCTTCTATTTCTTGTTTGCTAAGATGTTTCTAAAAATTGTAACAAACTTCAAATATTTTTCCACATTGACTGAGATATCCATTTTCCATTATATTATTACATTAGTGAATCACAGTAGATTTTCTGTGTCTAATATGGACATTCCTGAGATAAAATTTACTTGCTCATTATGAATTATTTTATTGTCTTTAATATCCTACTGGACCTTGTACACCAATATTTAATATTTTATTAAGTATCTACATTGATACCTACATTTTATACCTACATTCATCAACAATATTAGCCTATAGTTTTCCTTTCTTGTATTGTCTTTATCTGATTTTGCAGTTCTTCTGTTTCTTGCTTCTCATATTGGGCAGCATATTCTATAAATAATAAGTAGTAATACATGCTAGAATGTTAGCTATCTCCAAACATTAACCTTTGTTGGAATAAATTAGGAAGTGACTTTATAACATATAATAAAAAGAATACAACCAGACAGAGGACTCTGAGTACTAACTAGCATTGCATACTATCTGAGAAGTCTTTTCATTCTGGCATTTAATTTGTCTAAATTTAATTACACCATCTTTCTTGAAGCATCAAGATACAGACACAGGAAAGTAAGTCACTCGTTTAAGGTCCCATAGCTAATTATTGGAGGAACTAGAAGCCAATCCTTCTGATACCTAGCCCTAACATTGCTACAAAAATGCATGTTAACAAATCCTAACTCTACCACCTCTAAGTTGGTTGGTGATGGGTATATTCCATTTCAAGATAAAAGTAAATCAAGTCTTTCTTTCTCACCTACAATATATCCAAGGACCATGCTAAGTACTATAAAGAATAAAAAATTTCAATTAAAAATATTTAATAAATATTATTTTGCTAGGCAAGAATCTGCAATATCCAAGGCTCTATCTGTCCTTGTAACACTGCAGTGTAACCCACCGATCTATCTTCCATGGAATTTAACAACTCACCTTTCCCACAAGCTGTACAATTTCTGCCAGGTCTTCTTCTTCCTGCAGAATTTCCTTAGCTTTGGTCCTCAGAGGAACAAACTCTGTGAAGTGTTTGTCATAGTACTCATCCAAGGCACGCATATACTTGCTGTAGCTGATGAGCCAATTGACAGAGGGGAAATGCTTACGCTGAGCTAGTTTCTTATCTAAGCCCCAGAACACCTGATTAAAAAAACAACAAAAACAACAGTAATTTTTCTTAAAAAACAAAGGTAGAAAAAAAATACTAAAGCATATTTGTCCTAACTATGCAACTCTTTTTTCTTTTTTTTGAGACAGAGTCTGGCTCTGTCACTCAGGCTGGAGTGCAGTGGCATGATCTCAGCTCACTGCAACCTCTACCTCCCACATTCAAATGAATCTCCTTCCTCAGCCTCCCGAGTAGTTAGGACTACAGGCATGAGCCATCAAGCCCAGCTAATTTTTGCATTTTTGGTAGAGATAGGGTTTCATCATGTTGGCCAGGCTGGTCTCGAACTCCTGACCTCATGTGATCTGCCCACCTCGGCCTCCCAAATTGCTAGGATTACAGGCATCAGCCACCACGCTGGCCCCTAAATATGCAATTCTATAATTCATTGGTCAAATCATACATCTTTTTAGTATATACTAAGTATCACTGAAACAGAATAAAACTTGCAGAAAATGACAATAATGTATTCCTTTCATTTTCAAGGTGGGTAATATCTACAAATCGAATTTAAAATTTACCTGAACTTTCTTAATAGGGTATCAAATCAGATAGCAAAAAGAAAAATTAATTGACTCTTTGGAAGATTATTACAGTACAATAAATAGATGAACCAGAACAGGTTTATGTAGATGGAATACACACTTTACTTTGATTAAAAACCTCTAACTGGCTGGGCGTGGTGGCTCATACCTGTAATCTCAGCATTTTGGGAGGCTGAGGCAGGCGGATCACCTGAGGTCAGGGGTTTGAGACCAGCCTGGCCAACACGGTGAAATCCCGTCTCTACTGAAAATGCAAAAATTAGCTGAGTGTGATGGTGCACACCTGTAATCCCAGCTACTCAGGAGGCTGAGGAAGGAGAATTGCTTGAACCCAGGAGGTGGAGGTTGCAGTGAGCCCACATCTCGACACTGTACTACAGCCTGCACGATGGGAGCGAGACTCCATCTCAAAAAAATAAACCGCTAACTCTTCTGGGCCAGGCATGTGGCTCAGGCCTGTAATCCCAGCACTTTGGGAGGCGGAGGCGGGTGAATCACGTGAGGTCAAAAGTCGAGACCAGCCTGGCCAACATAGTGAAACCCTGCCTCTACTAAAAATTCAGTTCCCTATCATTCACAGAGCCAATCCAGTAACATCTGACAGTGATTTTTGTAAGGGCAAAAATTCACAGATATTCCATGCATTCCCAACTCTGTTCCCTCTTTCCCCATAATTTAAAACACAAAATTTTAGCAAGTGTTAAAGAGCTTGAGTGTTGTAAATTTAGCCTCTGCCACTTCCTTTTATCTGATACTGTCAGAAACACAGGTAAATATTCTGTTTTTCCCACATGAATAACACAAATATGTCAACTTTTTTTTTTTTTTTTAACTATAGCTCTGATTTATACACATTTTTTGTTTGGGCTAACTAGCTATCCACTAAAATTCATGTTTTGTCACTGGGAAGCAAATGCCTAGACAGAAACTGCATTTTCCAGCCTTACTTTCACGTGGTTGTGGTAGCTAATAGAATGAGTACAGTCAATGTGTCACTTTTGAATCCAAGGTTCAAAATAGGTGGATATGCCTTCTCCACAGTTTTCCCTTGTGTCAGCTAGATGCAGATGATCACCAGGCTAGGTGACAGTGGAGTCACAAGATGGAAGGAATCCTGGACTCTGAATTATTACTAAACACAAGAGAGCCTTGGACCATACTATGAAGAGAAATAACTTCTGGGTATTACACATTTTTGGGCCTCTTTGTTTCTATAACTAGGGTTACTATGACTAAAATATCATAGTATTACTCTAATACTAATAAAACTTTTGCTACCTGAATATATTTTCCACTTATATATTATTAAGTTTATTATAAATCCTACATAAACAGCTAAGAAAAAAACAGACAGTAATAAAGGCTCTCAGAGTTAAGAGTGTTCCTAAAACGAACTTTACCATTGCCTATCCTTTAGAGAGTAAATTAAATACTTTATAATGATTACATTAGATTGTATTAGAATAGCAGGGTCTGTGGAGAGGAGGAAAGACTTGGAAGTTGACTACACTAGGGAAAGACATACCTGAACGATACCAAGAGTAGCAGATGTAACTGGATCAGAAAAATCACCACCAGGTGGAGAAACTCTAAATTTAAAAAAAAAAGCAAAAAACGGTCATTACAAAAAAAATGCAGTCATTAGAAATGCTTATAAAAAATAAAATATAAATGTTAAATTTTTTTGAAAGTCAATTTTAAAGTAAAAACTTTTTAGTGTAAATAACTTTAGAAATGACCTTTGGAAAGAAAATCTTACCTAAGAATCTTAAAAGCCAGTATTTAAGTTGTAAACAAGAATGAAAACTACAGAACACCTTCTAGTATGAGACATGAATACATATTTTATTATAATCAATTTTATTATTCTAATCAAATAGATGAAGCAAGAAGGAAAAGCCCCAGGAAAAAAGTATAGCTTTATGTAGTAATCATGAATCTTCATTTTGTTTTTACTATGATGCAATCCCACCCTAATATGTCTATAATTTTCTAAATTACAAAAATTAAACAAATATTGAAATTAAACATATAAATATATAAATTAAAGTCAAACCTATGGAACCAAAATATGTAGAAATTGCCTAAACATGTACATCTTCAAAGAGCTCCTAAGGTGACTCTGGAGTGCAACCCTCCTTAAGAACCGTTGCTCCCAGTGGGAGCTAAATATTCTCTCTTTAAAATATGTGACTTTTTTCTCTCTTTGATACATCTGTGACTTTTTTCTTTTCCAAAGTAAATAGTTTGTTTGCTTACGCTCCTACAATGCTGACACTCCCTTCTCTTTCAGGATTTCCAAGACATTTCACCCTGCCTGCTCTTTCATAAAAAGAGGCCAGACGGGCACCAAGATAGGCTGGATATCCGCTATCTGAAAAAGGAAAATACATTTTAAAAGAGAGTTTCTAAGCCAGTCCCGAAAATCCTATCAGCCTTGTTTACATGATAAGCAATAAACAGGCTTACCTGCAGGCATTTCAGCTAAACGACCAGAGATTTCTCTAAGGGCCTCAGCCCATCTAGAGGTAGAGTCAGCCATCATACTGACATGATAGCCCATGTCACGGAAGTACTCTGACAGTGTGATTCCTAAATTGGGAAGAATATTATTATAAGTTACAATGTTAGCATACAAAATCCTGGTTTTTTCCACCCTTAAGAAAACTTTAAAGCAATAAGTACACAAAGTAGATTGCTAGCTGCTCCCTCAAATCTGCTTTTTCTTCTTCTGGGCACATACTGAACTATGCTTCCTAGTATCCTGTGCACTTTGATATGGCCAGGTAACTGATCTCTGGCTAACAAAATTCAAGTCAAAATAATGTGTTCTACGGCCAGACAAGTCACATGCTCTTACATGCTCTTTCATGCTCTTTCTTCCTTCTGGCCTGCTGAAATGCAGAGAACTCCCAGTAGTCCTGGAAGCCATGTGTTGAAAATGGTAGAGCTCATTTCAGCCTGGATTGCAGCCCAGAATGACAGAGCAAAGAGTCCCCTGAACACTTGAAATAAACATCTATTATATTGAGCAAATATACAATTGGAATTATTTGATGCCATAGCCTAGCTTACCCTAATATTTTTAGAAAGCAGGAAATGATTTTCTCCATTCTTTATTGAAATAATTAAGTCTGAAATTAATTTTCAAATGTAGCTTCTCTCTCTATATCACATATACATACGGAAACATGCATGCATCCAAAAATAGCCCTTAACTAATCAGCCTGGGTGGTTACTTTTCAAAAGTGACAAATGTTATTAAAATGAGTAATATCTCAATTATCCAGATTATTCTGCTATGCAGATCAGGTCCTATCCTGTAAATTTAGACAGTAAACCACTTATAAGCAGATAATATACAGAAACAAGTCTTGGGTTCTAGTTTCTATTCTGTCATTAACCTTAGCAAAATAACTTGATTTCCCAGTGTGGTTTCCTAACCAATTAAAAATGGAATAACGCTGCCTGCCATATATACTTCTATATAGCAGATTAAGTGAAATACCTTAAATAAATATCATTTTAAAAGTACAAAGTGCTAGAAAACTCTAAGATATTATGAAAAATGTATTGTTATATTATAAAAGTTCCAAAAGCTAATGCCATGGCTTATTTTACTAGTAAAGAAACAGAGGTTTATATAAGTAAAATTAACATAATTAATGGAAAATTTAGCACTTTACTATTTATCATATTGTATCTTTCAGAATAAAAAATACTGACTGTTGTGGCATTCATAAAATGGTCCCATGAAGAAAGTCTTTAAGAAACATTATCGGCTGGTCCGATGGTAGTGGGTTATTAGAACTTAACATTAGTGTCACTAAAGTTGGTATACAACCCCCCACTGCTAAATTTGACTGGCTTAAAAAAAAAAAAAGAAACATTATCAATATTAAGGCTTCAACAACACAATAATTATTACATATTCCAATCTAATGGTAAGAACAGATCCTTTCTTATACAAGCATGCTGTGTTTTAAACCTGTGATGAAATGTCACAGATACTTGTGATAATTAGAAATAAATGGCAGAAAAGACAAATACACATTAGTAAGTGAGAATTCTCTGACAGACCTACAGGTATCAGTGCCTACAATAAAAATATGCCTCAGACAAAATCAAGAAACAAACAAACTGGGACATATTTGCAACTCACGACAGATAAAGGATGCATTCATTCATTAATCAAAGAGTTTCTGGCCAGGTGCAGTGGCTCATGCCTGTAATCCCAGCACTTTGGGAGGCCAAGGTGGGTGGATCCCCTGAGGTCAGGAGTTTGAGACCAGCCTGGCCAACATGGTGAAACCCTGTCTCTACTAAAAATACAAAAATTAGACAGGTGTGGTGGTGGTGCATGCCTGTAATCCCAGCTACTCGGGAGGCTGAGGCTGGATAATTGCTTGAACGCAGGCAGGAGGCAGAGGCTGCAGTGAGCCGAGATCGTACCATTGCACTCCAGCCTGGGTGAATGAGTGAGACTTTGTCTCAAAAACAAACAAACAAACAAACAAACAAAAAAGAGCTTTTAGAAATCAGTATGAAAAACAACTATCATCCAAAAGGAAAATGAACACAAGGCAGTTTTTAAACGGTTCATACACACAGGAAAGATGTTAGTTCATTGTTAAATACAGATTTAACAGGTAGCTACTAAAGCAAGAATAGTTAAAATTTCAATTGTCAAATCTAGGTGCCAGGTACACAGTATTCACTGTAATACTCTTTGAACTTTTCCGTATGGTTGATAATTATCATAAGAACATGTTGAAAAAACTAGCATTGGTGAAGATGTTAAGAAGCAGAAACTCTTGTCTACTGTTAGCCCTTTTGAAGGGCAATCAGAATGTAAAATCACCATTAACAGCTGTATTGGCAGGGATTTTACTTCTAAGAAATTACCCTAAGAAATGTGAAAAGAGGCCATGCATGGTGGCTCATGCCTGTAATCCCAGATCTTTGGGATCCCAAGGCAGGATGATCTCTTGAGGCTACGAGTTGCCCATCCTGGGCAACATGATGAGACCCATCCCTACAGAAAATAAAAAAATTAGCCAGGCATGGTGGCTCATGTATGTAGCCTCAGCTAGTTGGGAGGCTGAGATGAGAGGATCCCCTGAGACCACAAGGTCAAGGCTACAGTGAGCCATGAGCATGCCACTGCACTCCAGCCTGGGTGATAGAGCAAGACCCTGTCTCTAAGGAAAAACAACATGCAAAGAAACATGCATGCAAAACACACAAACAATGTAAGAATATATGTATAAGGATATTTTAGTGCTGCCTATCACAAACACGGATAAAGAATCCAATAGTCCAACAAAAAGATGCCAGTTAAATTATGATATATCCATACAAAGGGATACTGTGCAGCCAGCCATTTAAAAGAATAAGGTAGCTTTCTATGTCACTGTCTCTTTCTCATAAAAGTTACCACCAGGCCGGGCGCAGTGGCTCAAGCCTGTAATCCCAGCAATTTGGGAGGCCGAGGAGGGTGGATCACGAGGTCAAGAGATCGAGACCATCCTGGTCAACATGGTGAAACCCTGTCTCTACTAAAAATACAAAAAATTAGCTGGGCATGGTGGCGTGTGCCTGTAATCCCAGCTA